CCTAATACGACTACTTATATCTTCATATATATTTAGCCGTTTGCCTCTTTCATAACTGCAAATCACTTGAATCCTCTAAATTTACTTAAGCACAGCTTTCAGGCATAACACTACTTACCCTTTGCTACGTATTGAAATACTTGGACTCCCGGAAGCCTATATGTAATTTAAAGTCTGAGCTTAATAAAAAAGACAGGACAGCAAGCAGATTTAATAAAAATTGATTTGTTTTAATTATACTGTACAAAGTTGTAAAATTAAAAATATAAAAAAATTATCATGTATTACCGTTACCTATACATTGTATACTTAACCAATCACGATCAGGGTTATCCCTGTTCGCTATAAATAGAACTAGTTCTCGATCAAAAAGTTCGATTTATTTTTCACTTTCTCAACACATTTTTTATATGAAATTATTATTAAACTAATGTCAAATTCGAGAAAACACAATGATTCTCAAGAAGCAACTGAAAATAGTCCATTGCTTCTAGAAGGGTCAAATGATCTTACTAACCAAGAATCATCGTCATACATACAAAATCTTCGAAAACCCCATGTTCTATGGATGATTGTCTTTAGCTTCACCTTATCAACTATTATGACTTCTATGATAGCGCCTTTAGGTTCGAATGTTACGGCAGTTATCTTCGTTCTTTTAGTAAATTGTTGAGAAACTTTCACATTAAATATAATTTATGCGTGTTATTTCATTTGTCAGTGCAAGTTGTCTTGAATATTGTATGCCTAGAGTATTATGAATTAAATGACAATTACGTGAATAGCGCGGATGTTTTTTCCAAATCGATAGAGAAAGATTGTAAAATTCCACAAATTTCTGCATTGGCTTCACATCGTTTGATGTTGTATTCGATGTGTTTATATGTTTCAGGTTGTAAAAGAGCTGACATCTTTTCTTTGACATTGACTTTCATTTCATATTACATCAAGATTTGATATCTAATATCAATTTATTTTATTTTATTTTATTCTTTTCTGATATTTATTCATTATAGCAACATTATCAATAGGTTACATTTCAACACTCTCAGATTTTAAGGGTCGTAGATTTGTGTATAGATTATCAACACTCGGTATAATGTTTGCATGTTCTATTGTAATTCTTACGTCTAATTATCAGAAAATTGTTGGCGGAAACTTTTTATTTATTGGAGCAATTGTCGAAGGATTACTTGGAGGTGTGATTGCTATAAACACGGCATGTCATGCTTATATAAGCGATTGT